TACCCGAGGTGCTATCTTCGCAGACGTCGTTGGAGGACCTGGTCGGCTCCGGCACGGGCACGCTCGTCGGCACGCCCGTCGTCGGCGCGGACGACGGGTACGCGGTGGGCTCGTATGTCGGCTCGGACGTGGGCATCATCGTCGGGTCCAACGTCGTCGGGAGGTAAGTCGGCGTGTACCACCCAGTCGGCGAGTAGGTCGGGAGCAGCGTGGGGCTGTCCGTCGATATCAGCCGCAAAACGCGGGCGACGTACGGGCGTCCGTCCTCGTAGGCCGAGAGCGCCGCGTTCGCTTCCGCGTAGCGCTCGAGGAGGGGCCGCATGGCGTCGTCGGGAGTGGTGGCGGCTCCGGCGAGGACCTCCTCGCACGCGCCTCCGAAGCTGACCTCCGTCGAGCAGACGGACCGCATCGTGTCCCGGACGGCCGCGGCGTTGTCGACCCCGCTGAGGATCGCGCGCGTCTGGTGAATGGCGAGCAGCGGCGACTCCGGCATCGACATCGTCGCGTTCGAACTCGCGTGCAGGAACTCGAAGACCGCGGCCCACCGCGCCTCCGCGTCGCTCGAGTCGGGGACGAGGTCCTCGTAGGCGAGGAACAGCGACGGGATGCCCGCGTAGTAGCCGACGGCCGTAGCGCGCTCCTCGAGCTTTTTGACCATCTCTGAGACGAGCTCCGAGCCCTCGCCGAGCGTCACGTTCCCGCGCGCGGAGGCGAGCTCGGCCTCCGTCTTCGGGTGCGCTCGGGCGTCCTCGAGCTGCTCGTTCGCCACGTTGCTAATCTCGCGGCGAAGGAGGTTCCGGCGGAAGAGGTAGAGAATGGTGGTGCCCGTGCGGCTGGACGAGGGCGGATGCTCTGACGAACCGACCGGATGCTTTTTTGGAGCGCGCGCGCGCGGCCGCGACGGCCGGGGAGCGCCCGGGGAGTGCCGCGCGGATGGTCGGGAGGCGCGGCGCGGTCGGACCATGGACGCCGGGGCGGCGACAGGTACTCGACGATGCGCGCGTGGTGCATGCTGTGGCCTTGGTTCGTCCTACCCAAAACGACGTTTAGAGCCCCCGGACGAGGCGCGGACGCTGGCTGCTCGACATCCACTTGAAGCCCACGGCGACCTGTGCCCCGGCGCAGAGGCTGCGGTACTCGCTTTCCATGACCGCCTCCATGCGCTCCCAGCTGTCCAGGACGCCGCCGACCTGCGCTCGCGCTACGGTCGCGGGCCGGGATGAGACGAGCGGACGAGCGGACGCCGCCGCCGACGTCCTTAATCCGAAAAATTTCGCTCGCGAAGCTGATCTCGGGGTGCGCGTTGATCTTCTCCAGGAAGAACCTCGAGCCACTCCGCTGCTGAGAGATCAAAACGTACCTCGGGCAGGCCGTCCCATTGGGTTGGTGCGGCGGCGTCGCCGCGTCGGGCTCGTCGCCGGACGGGAACGCGGACCGCTCGCCGAGGCCCGGCGACCCGAGGCCCTCGGCGGGCGGTGCCTCGGCGGGCGCCTTCGGCGCGAAGACGGGCGGCGCCTGGCCGAAGCAGATGCGCTTCAAGTTCTCGAAGAGCTGCATCAGCGAGGCGGTGCCGGACGGCGCGGCGCTTGCCCCGGCGCAGGCCGAGAGCACGGCGATGAAGACAAACAGGAATCGCATGGCGAGCCGCAGAAACGTGCGCCTGCAGCGCGTCGACGGGGGGACCTGGAGTGCACGCCGACGACGATGTAGGCGCACGCGAAGATGGAGAATGGGATGAAACTTGAAAAAAAGATACATGCCGACGTGAAAAAAGATACTTGCCGACGTGCTGCTGCATTCATGAACGCTCCTCCAGGAGCCTGGCCCACCGCTCCCGCGACGCCGCAGCTTTGCCACCGTCGGGGCCGCGGCCTCCACTCTGCCCGCACCTTCGGATGGGGTCGCGGCGTCGCGGTCCGCGCCCTTGAACAGCTGCGATGCGCCCGTGGCGTTTCTTCATCTGTGGCGTCGTCGGGGCTGGCGCAAACTCGACGTGGGATACCGTTCAAGGTTGGCGAGGTGAAAGGACACGATCCTTGCCGTGGTTGAT